CGTGCGACAGGAATGAGACTCTCGTTGACATAAATGTCGTCAACATATGCTGATGTGGCATTCGCAATGGTTTTGTCTTGCGATAATACTGCGTCAATTATGGCTTTCATAATGAGAGATGCCACATTTAAACCGAAACCCAGTCAAATGAGGCAGTATCTTTGCCCCTTCACTATGACAGTTTGATAGGGCCACAGCGCCTTCTCCACATGTATCTGCAGATATGCCCTCCGCAAGTCCAACAAAGATACATCGGCTCCCAATCGTCGCCATTCTCGCAACTTATGTGCACAAACCTCTAAGTTAGCAGTATATAGTTCTACAAAACCATTCAACTCGCGGTAATCCAGTACTGGACGGACCTTTTGCTTGCTCTCTTGTATCACTGCCATTAATGGGATTAGACACTTAGGTGGACCAAGTTCGTCTTCGGGGTATGGTCGCAGCCATCCATTATCCAGCCAGGACTGCAGTTCCCTTTCACATTTGTCCCGTGCATAGTCAGGTAATGAATATTCTGCCACTCTATTCTTCAGGGTTATAGGCGGTTGTCCATTGGTCCACTTCCATGAGGCTGTCCATACTTTGTTATGGCAGTCGAACTCCACACTAAAGTCGGGTTCAATGATAGAAATAGCAGCACATTGGAGCTTACTTTCTTCTTCAGAAAATTGGACTTCTCCCGAGGAATTGATGTGCACTCCTCCTAATTCTTTAATTACGTCAATCCCAAGAAGAAGATCGAACCCAAGTAGTGCACAATTAGGGCATCAAAGTACACGGGTTGAGCACGACTAACATTCAATGCAATATTGCCCTGTCCATGGCATTTTAGTGCCTTACCGTCGGCAGTTAGGACTTGCGTCTTCATTGGTCGCCAATTGCGACATGCACATTTGCTCACCAACATCCGTGAGCACCCAGAATCAACCATGGCCGTGCACTTCTCTCCGTCTACAGCCACCTCAATGATAGGTAGCACCGTGTTGCTTGGAGAAAAGACCAGCACTGACGTCTGTTCCCCGGATCCGTTTCTCTGGCACTCTGAGGAAATGTGCCCAACCTTGTTGCACCGAAAACACCGTATCCTGCAGCAGGATCTTCGGGTCTGGGTAGCTGTCTTCTCCGAGTAGCCTTGCCTGCAATCCTTTGCCAGGTGGTTGGGACCAAAACATTTAAAGCACACAATGCCGCCCATCCGTTGAGCTGCTATATTTATCTGTTGAGCTGCTGCGGCAACTGATTCATCTGGCTCTTTGCTATCGGTCATAACGGCCCGAGCGCGAGTCAGGATCTGGTCCAACGTCATAGTGTCCATTCTGGATGATGCACGGAGAAGTTGTTTGACTTGTTGCGGCAGTCCAGAAATGAAGGCACATGTCATCCATTGTTCAGGCAGTTGGCCGCCAACCAACAAAGCTAGCCGTTTCAGCTCTGCTAAAAATTCGTCTACCGTTTCCCCTGGCCAAAATCGTCATGACACAAACTGATCATATGCAGTGAATGAATCCACTGCATATGCAGTTATAAGGGCCTGCTTAATCTGCTCTGGATCTGACCTCTGCTCCTTTGTCAGTTGCCGATATACAGAGAGAGCCCCGGCTCGCAAGCACAGTGGCAATACCTGCTCGCAAAGTTCACAAACCAACTCCACATTTTCAATCCATTCTACAATTGGTAGATGGGTAGCAGCTTCACTGAATTCAGGTATCAGCCTGATATCAAAACTTCTGTCCACCATGATTAGAGAAAATGCCAAAATAGCTTATAGATTAAATAAGTCTACTGCTCTTCGCTGTTATTCTTGGTTACACAGGCAAATTGCCTCCTCCAGTTCGACCAATCAGCACACAACTTGCTATTGGTGGAAGCATTCCAAACTGTACAAAAAAACCCTCATCCTTGCACATACTGCTAGAATTGCTGGACGGGAGAGTAATGCTATTTTCACGAAGCAAACTTGCTGATGTCATGTGCCGCACGTTAAGGTAAGACCCTTATTTTCCTATACACCAGATGCAAGCCACTCTGGCTCGCTTGCTTCTACGGGGCTGTTCACCACACAAGCAAAGCAAAGGATTCCTCCTTGAGTGACAGTGAACTTATGATAGACCTGCACATGTTCGAAACTCTCCAGCAGTGATTGAGACAGATAATGATACAGGTGAAGCCACATTCAGGGAAGAAGCATAAGAAAAAAAAGAAAAAAGACACTGCCAACTTGTTAGTGCTGAGATCATAGAAGTGATCAAGAGAAGTGTAAAAATGAAAGTCACAAGTCTTGTTGGTTGAAATGCCCAAATGTTGTGTGCATTCTCTGCCGAAAGTAAAAATTGGAGCTGTGTTTCAAGCTTGTTGATAAAGATATTGGCAAAATATTTAAATTTGTTATCTGACCAATGATGGAATGTCTTAGGTACATATATCAACAACTACAGAGTTGAGTGCCTGGGGAAGCTGTTGAAATGATTGTGTGTGCTAGGGACCAGTGGTGACCCAAACTGTTTGTCATCATGAGTTTTGACTGTCAGGGACATCACACAAATTCTTCAAATTACATTGTTTGTTCAGTATTCAAGTCTACTGAGTTTGTCCTACATTCAAGTTTACTATATTTGTTCTGTATAAGCCCCAAATTTTAAGACAAATAAAAGAAAATTATTAGGCTCCATTTAATCTTGCAACATATAATAAGAGAGTTGCAATTTTATTTACCATCAGTGTATTTGAATGAATAAGAAGTTCTTTTTAGGTATAATTTAATGACAGATGCCAAGAAAAAAATATTGCTGGTGCTTCAAACTGAGTTGGGAATTTATCAACAGTGATTTATATTCTTGAAGTTCTTCAACAATTGCAAAACCCAAAAATGTTGAACACAATTGACAGTGTGAGAATTAGAAGGACTGTGGATTCCAATGACTGTCAAGAAAAATATTCAGATATTTTAAATATCTCTACTGTACATTCATATATCTTGTGCAGTTTTGTTTGATAAAACATCATATGGGTCTGTCAGTACGTTCTCTCCCTTTGACATCAAATCAGGAAAAAAAATTAAGAAGGAATTGAGATAGCTGAAGACAATCACTAAAGATTTTGCAGACTGCTTTGAAAAGTGGAATGGACATTAAGACAAATGTAAGAATACATTAAAGTGAACCACAGTGCCATTGTCTCAAGTAAGCTAATTTCTCATTTATATTAACAAATTAACTGTAGCAAGAGCTGCTTAGAGCCATCTTTTTAATACAGTGGTAAAAAAATTGTCATTGACATTGAGTTATAGTTTAATGTGCAAGTGATGAAAACTATTTCATTTGTAGTTAAACTATAAAACTGTCATGACTGAAATTTCCACCATTTACAATCAATGGAAGAAATAGCTGGATCATTTCCAGAGAGAGCTGGCATTTAAACAAGTTTCTTCATCTTTGTTATTTTCACTGAATAAATGCTTTCTTCCTCTTGAACCTTTTAAACTTGGTAACCATCTACTGACCCATTTGATTCATGGCTGATATCCCTTTGAAAAAACATGAGATGTGCTAGATACAGGAATGAGAATAGCCTATACAAATTTAAGGTGCCATAAGACATTCCAAAAATATTACTGGTTAACAGGCATCTTAAAAAAGCCAGAAGGCAAAAGTGGTTATAATATTCTGATAAAAACAAAAGATAAAGTAAGTGACCTTTACCACGCTGCAGACAAAAATTGTCACTGTAGAATTATCTCCCTTTGCTACTCTAGGCACATTCTGTTGCCTTGGCATTGTTGCTATAAACACCTCAACTGTTATTTCCGGTATTTTAAGCTGGGAATCATCTACTACTGCTTTGGAAGAAGGTTAAACTTCTGTTTTCCAATGCCATTTTGAATTCTTCTAGACTCTACATGAAGTGTAACACTGATTAAACCTACATTAATTTTAAAAAATGTTTTGTAAACAAAAATGGCTGCATCAATATCCAACAAAGCCTTTATTCAAGAGTTTTTCTTTGATTAGTACTCCGATGATGCTTTACTCAAGTGGATATTGATGGTTAAATAATCAAAGATGATAACCATGTTAGTGATGTGGAGGAAAGCGATGATAACCACTAACTGCTATCATTCATACCTGACTAATTTTATGGAAGCTACTGGCGACCATCGATATACTGGATAGCCTTTCTGAAGGTGAATTATTTTGTCTATTTATAAATGATGAAATAAAAACTTTATTTGTAATTGAGAACATGTCAACAAGACAAATAATCATGAGTCATGTGAAAGAAAGAACAAACAAATGCTTGTATCTTCTTGTATGTAAACACAAGGAAACACGTCACATTTTTGACAAAATGAAAGCCTTCTTAGCAATTTTGCTTCTTATTGCACCCCCAGAACTCCACAAGGAGTAATAAAAGTAAAAGTACGTTGAATTATTTATGTATTTCTTAATGTATTTGTTTTATATTTCATGTTGTATATCATTTCAATTTTATTTTCAACGTCAAAACATGTATACAAAATATAATGCATTACACAATTCATTACATTAAAATATTACTCATTCTTTTATTATTGTACAAAAATTAAAATCTATATGCACAATACAAAGCAAGTTACAACAATTTTAAAACAGCATGTGTTCATGTTTTGCACCCAAAAAAAAAAAAAAAAAAAAAAAATGCAGTGGCAGGGGGAAAAATTCTAGAAAGAAATTAGCATGGTAAAGGTTAATTAATATATTATAGTAAAAATAAAATTTCATTGGTTTTTGCTGCAGACATCAAAGTGTATCCAATACTACAAGACTTAGTGTAATGGGGAGGTGCAATGTAGATCATAGGTTCCTGATCCCCAGGCCATTGTTGGGTTTAGTATCATTTGACTAAGGGCAGTATCATATAACAATAGAAGTTAAAAAAAAAAAAAAAGCATCATTTTTTATGTCTATACAAGAACAGAATAAGAAATAAATACTACTGAAGAGCAAATAATTCAAACTTACTTTATGCCTAAATTCATTGCTTCCGATGTTCCTATCATGCTGATTGCAAGTAGCATATTGTTGCAAATTTTGGCAGCCTGCAGGTAAAAATAATAATCATGCAAATTTCAACAGAAAAAACTTAATTTATCTAGATGATGTCAAGAATCTGTCAGAACAAATAATCATGTTCAATTTTCAACTGAACTTTTTTAACTGCCATGTATAAAACTGGTGCTTTTTTGTTTACAGGCTTTTTTGTAGTTTGAATGGAAGAAAAGAAAATGGTATGTTGCTTACCTCGTGGCGAGAGAGAAGTGGCGACAAGTGGTGATTTCTTTTATAGAAATATATTGCAGGAAGAGATGAATTATGAGAAAGAAGAAAAGCTATAAAGCTTCACCAAAAATATGAGTGGGTGATTTTCTTATTTGTTTCATACAAGAAACGTTGCAAGAGAGTAAGAAAATTTAAGAGAAGGACACAAGAAATCCTAAGTGAAGTTTTTTTTTTTAATTTTTTAAACTGCAAGCTATTTTGGTGATATAGTGAGACTGGGTGAGATGTGATACCACCATTTAGCAGAGAAGGTGATATAGTTGTGTGGATAAAGAAAGTGAAATTGGTCGCCAAGCTTAAAAAAAATGCCGAACTGTGCCAGTTTCCTTCCACTTTTTCTGCAAGGAGATGCTCTTGGTCTCTACCTTGAAATGAGTGACAAGGACCAGTTGGACGAGGACATGAGAGAGACCAGACTAAAGAAAGTGTTCATTGAAGGGCACTTTGAAGCTTATGAAAAGCTCAAGAGAATGAAATGGACTGGGGAATTAGTGGACTTCTCCGTCAATAATATCAAAAGGTAGGCGCGGTTGGCAGGATATTTAGCAAGAAGACTGGATCAGACCGTGAAATTAGCTTTTGTGACAGGCTTTCCTGGTGACATATCTGTGGTGCTGCAACAAGTGCATGGTGTAGAAAATATGAACCTCTGCAAAACAATATCAGCCACAAGCCTCTTGGTTAGCGAAAGACTTCAAGAGCCCAGAATAGTGGCAGTGATTGCAAAAGCATGAGACCAAAAGAAAACAAAGGTCATATGGAATCATCAAGCATTAGGTGCTATAGATATCAGGGATTGCAGCTATTTAGATACAGTAAGGAGCTACTGAGAATAAAAGTAATGTGCTACAATTGCAAGAGATTGGGGTATATTGTGAAGTATTGCCCTCATGGTCAGGGAGATGAATAAGGAAGCACTTCTGCGCCAGTAGGTACCCAGTCAACAGAATGAAGGTGCAGTACCGATCTCTACCAATCATGGAAGTGTCAGTGGGTAATGTGTTAGTGGCAGCTCTTGTTGATACTGGCTGCACAACCACTTTATTTAATCCCAAGCTTGTGAGTGGATAGAGTGAGAGTGGTACTGTGAAATCAGCTAACAGAAGGGAGGTAAAAAGTAAAGGAACCTGGCAGGTGGGCTTAAAGGTAGGTGGAACAAGGATAAAAATGGAGGCAATTATTGTTGATCCTATCATCAACAAGATCAATATTGTTATTGAAATAGGCGTGATCAGTAAGCTGGGAGGTGTGACTGTAAACAATGACAAGGTTTAGTTTGGAGATATACACTGTACTGCAGCTACCCAAGTTCTGAACACTTGTAAAATTGAAGACACGGATTTCATAGCAGAGTTCAATGGAAAGAAATGGATTGTGGAATAGAATTGAATAGGAGATTCTCCAGTATTAAAAACAAAATGGAGTACTACAAGAATTCCTTGAAAGAAGAAAAAAAGTGTAGAATTTGAGAAGGAGCTTGAAAGATGGATTACTGAGGGTATTCTCTTGAAGAGGGAAGTAAAAGGAGTGTTACTGTTGATGGCAGTGGTCCACGCTACAAAAGGAAAAGTCAGGTCAGTATTAGACTTTTGGGAGTGTAGAATGTCATAATGGGAGCGGCATAATTGATGTGCATGATGAAAACATGTAGAGGCATTTGGCTGGAGGAATTATGATTGTGGACCTTAAGTTGGCCTACCTGAAGTTACATGTCACTGAGAAACCATGGCAGTACCACATGATGCTATGAATCATCTTCTTCTTCTCCCTTGATTTTGGTGAGCTTTGGACTCAATGCTGCACTGAATAGCAGTGGTCCTAAACATTGTGCTCATGAAGTGAAATAAGACAAAAGAATATTTTATTTGTACACTGATGACATTATAATAGATGTAGCAAAGGTATTTATGGAAGTAGTAGTAGATCATAAGGAATCTGGATTGACACCAGAACTCTTAGGAGGAGGATGCAGTGCTGGGCCTTAAGCTGAAGAAATGAAAAGTGGGTGAACTGGTGTTCAGAAGGGGCAATGAGGTCCCACAGGTAACAGGAGAGATGAGTTAATTGGGAACTCTTTTTGGTCTGTGGAAAGCTGTTGTGGCACTACTCCATTGCTGGATGGCTGTGACCAGCATGCAACTACGTGAAAAAAAGGGAATGTAAAATCGATGATAAAACTGTTGCTGTGATGCAGGAGATCTTAGCTGATGTAAAGAAAGAGGACCCTGTGACCATTCAAATAAGTAGATAGGGGAATAAAAGCAGAGTCGGATGAAAGTGAAATTTTCACTTTATATTCCAAGACCCTTTCATAGACATATGTAGCAATTTTGTGCCTTTTGGAAGCTACTTCATAATTATTTTAATGTTTGGATGGTATTGTAATAAAATTCAAAGGTAAGATGAAAAATGAATAATGAAAATACTTCATCTCTTAATTCAAATAAAAAACAGTTAATAACCAAGCAATGACATGCAGATTTGCACAGAGAATTTGTAATGTAACTGTGGATTTCTACCTCATTTAGACATATATTTCTGTGACCTAATTGGTTAAGGTATTGTTGATGAAAGATGAGGACTCACAATAATGAATGGGAATTTAACTATCATCTGAAGAAACTTATATTCCTACTTCCTCCTACTTTTATTATAAATGGCCAAAGAGTGGCCAAAAATATTATTGATAAAAAGCAACACTGGTCAAAATTGAATAATGAGTTTTAATGACTTTATATTACTACCTTCTTTATGCACTCTCAATTTTTGTGTTGTTTTTTAACATTGCAAATTAAACAAAACTGTTCTTTTGCTGCCTTATAAAGATATCTTGGAAAAATATGTACTTTTGTCTATATGATCAAAAAATGTAATATACCAATACAGTAGATGACTATCTGGAACACTGTAAGAAGAAAAGATGGATGGCATATAGATAGAGACTCACCTGCCCAGTACCTACAGCTCCACAGTGGATAACATTTTTGCCCATCATATCAAGGTAGACTTTAGCCTCAGCAAATGCAGACTCCTTGCCACCAACCATAAAAGTCAATAGTCTATCTTTAGCAGCATTTACTCCTTAAAAAAGAATAAACAAAATTACCATACATACTCATGTAACATGCGATCTCATGTATCGTATGACCTACAAATCTTCACTTATAAAAAATGATTTTATTATATATCATGAGAGTCCCCTTTTTGAGAGGCCAAATTATAATAGACTAACCTCTTTTCCTTTATCTCTTTATCCTATCTTCTAGTTAAATAAGTTAAAAAAGAAAATTATTTATTGAAAAAAGTACCAATGTAAATATATATATATATATATATATATATATATATATATTGATAGCTAGCTATTGTATAAAGTGGGGAAAAAGTCTTAATTTGTATTTAAGTTGTAAAAAGAGAATGATAAAATTATCGTTAGTAATTTAACTTATTTCCTTCATAACAACAGGTAAATATCTTATAAATGTAAACAATGGAAAGAACATTTCACTTTGTTTGTATTTTTAAAATAAGTATACTCATACCTGAATATTAGAAACATTATTATTGGATACATTTTAAGTAAAACATCAGTTTTATCAAAATCATATTCTTTAAATACTATTGTGTACCTTTTTGACTACAGTAAATAGATATAAAATTTGGTCATTTTAGCAAAGACCCCAGCAGTTCAGACAATTAATTTTATATTTCATGTATGATGTGACAAGTGTAAAATTAGTTTCAAAATTAAGTCTTCAAAAGTCGCATGAGCTGTGAGTATATATGATAATTATAATCTTAGAGCATGACTTAAGCAACTAATAGACTCATCAGTGATAATTCATTATAATGATTCCTTGTCTTTTCAGATAGTCCATCAAAACTTACAAACTCTTTATTCAAAAACAATTTTAGTTGTATATAATGCCAAAGCTGTTAATATTAATAAAGATAATTTCACTTATTTCATATTTTCATCTTAACTAAATGATTAAGATAGAAAAGTGTTTGTCCAAAGCTGACTATACAAATTTAAAGGCTTTTCCCTTTTTATACAATAGATAGCTATATATATATATATATATATATATATATATATATATTATAAATTAATTGATTTAAAATATGTTTTTTTTCTGTATACACAGTTCTAACCATGTTTCAAAATGGAAGCTAAAAGCCACGAATTTAATTTTGCAATTAAATTAAATACATTAGTTCCATTTCATCCTCAAGTGAATTTTGGACTAACTTTTAAAATTACTGGGTTTTAAAATTACAGCTAAAAAAATATTTCCATGGTTACAGATAAATCTACTTCAATTGGACAAGGGTTTCTGGGTTTTCCTTATGTCTGTATCATTGTATATATATATATATACATTTTGGTAAGGGGCGGGATGTATTTTCAATGAACTGACATCCGCTGAATGCATGTCGAATCTGATTTTTTAAAAATTTATTTTTTATATATATATATATATATATATATATATATATATATATATATATATACACATGGCATATATATAGACATTGGTGCTTCTTTCCATATTATGATTGAAATTACGATAAACTATTTGGTGGCTTAGAAATTTGTAATAAAAATAGTCTATATTAGATTTCTCACAAAAAAAATAAACAGGAACTTTAAAATAATTATTGAGATGCACATTTACTCAGACTTTAACTTCAGTAAAAACTAATCTGCTCTCCAGTTGCACAAAAAAATTTTTCTAGAAAAGATTTTGTAGTAATTGAATAAAATGGTAAACAGTCAAAATTTTCCAAATCCTAGTAACACAATTTCATGTTGACTGAAATATTGTACAGCAGGCTTTTAGTCTATAAAAGTACTTCTTATAAAACAGAATATATAGTAAGATTTACTATATTTATGAGAGACAAATACACACTATTGAAGATTGAGTGTTTGTAGCTATAGACAATATGGACATAGCATACATTGCTGAATCCTGTCAGTTTCACAACTTAAGTGATCTTCTGACAATGTCTCAGAATGTCACATGAAGTATGAAATTAACAGTCACTATGCAGTATTGATTCCTCTGTCCACACTGTCTAGATATATATGCATATAAATAAAATATAATTAGGTAACAGGGATTCATCCAAACAAGTTTTGTTAAATTCGACTAACAAGGTCTGCCTGCTTAAAGTTTTATTGTATTTTCTAATTTTTGAATTAGATTTTGCACATCAGGATCAAAAATGCGGATAAACTGTTTGAAGTATTTTTGACCATCTCAGTCATTATCAAGAAATTGGTGTTGTCAGTGTAGAATAACCTAGCATTTTTTACAAGGTGACATTGTGTGTAACCGTTAAATGAAGATAGACACACTGGAAACACATGTATCAAATATTTACACACATTATTTTGTATGTATATTGAATATTTTATACACATGTCTCAATATCATTTGCTATGTTGAAAGATATTTTATTTAATATGAGTGTTTTCTTTTGCATAATAATGATTTCTAGAATTTTGAGTCTTTCCTTACAATGAGTGCTATATAGTATCTTGGTATTATCTACTGATATTTGTTTTTTGTTGATAGTCTTATTTTGTTTGTAATGTGACGATCAATTTGTGTATAAATTGCACTTAGTTTTGATAAATAACAAGTTAAGTTACAGGACTGTGTGGTGTATGTCTGTCTAATGTAAGAATATTGTATTTTTGATTGTTGATATTAGAAAGGCTGAATTCATAAACAACTTTATATATAAAGTAGGGATTTTTGAGATTCTGAGTTATTGGTTATAATTAAGTTTTGAATTTTTTATAGTCAATTATAAATCTAAGATATTTGTTGGGATTGTTAATTGATATGTATAAATAAATTATATTTGTAATGGCTTTTTCAAATGTTTATGGTTAGGTTCCATTTTGTTATGATTGAGTTAATAAAATTATGATTGTTAATTAAAATAATAATATCAATAACAGAATCCCTTTCCACTTTTTAAAATTTTTTCTCCATCCCAAATACAAAATATCTAATTAGTACAAACAGAAGGCTTATGGGAATTACACAGTGGTAAAATATATCATCTTTTTATAATATTTAAGTTTTGAAGAGTGCTTTTTTTTCTGGCACTACAGTACTGGTTATTATATTGTACCGTGTTTTCTATTTTGAGGTATTTCAGATTTTTTATGGCCTAGCAGGTGTTGATTCCTTAAGTTTACAAAATTTTCAATGATGTTCTTTATCTATGATTTTATATGAATTCCCAATGCAAAGGGAAGTGATCTCCCTTTTCTCTCCATCTGTGGTCAGCCATGTCTGATTTATCCACTTCCCATTGTGTTACAGATTTTGGTTTTTGAAGCCTTACCTCCAAAAAGGCGGCCTGTCTCCCCTTTATATTTCAGGGCCGGAGCTACGGGATCCGAGCACAGTCTTTATATCAAGTTCTCTCCTTTGAGAGGGTCTTATTCAGGAGAGGTATCTGTAAAATGTCGTCCAGCTTTCCAAGTTTGTTTTTGATGTTATATGGACGGATTATCCTTTGTATTTTGTCTGATAACCCCTTCACATAACAAGGTAGACTGTTTTCTGAGGTTGTTGTCCTCCTTGACCCCACCTATCCCAGCCTATGCTAGGCCACAAAAATCTCCTGAGCTAACCAAGCATAGAAATGAATACAATATGGGAACCAGTAATAAGGAGTGCCAGAGAAAAAAAGCAATAGTAACAAAAATTGCAATGTGAACTCTGGTAAAAAAAACATACAATGATAACTGCAAAAATTGCAATATGTGCACTGGTAAAAAATGGTTGCTGAAACATTAGGTTTATAAGTCCCAGAAATTCATACTCAGATGTCCTCAAGGACACACGGCACAGTGGATAAAGGTGTTAGTTAGATCCAGTGACAGGACCCAAAGAGGCAATGGAGAACTTGGAGTTTGAGAATTTAAAATTAATAGGAGGTAACTGACATGGCATGTGGAACTGAACAGTCTACCCCCAAGCATTTAAAAGGGTTCAGTTCGACATTCCAACCACCTGAAGAATAATTTACCAGCATACAAATTAAAAAAACATTGTGATAAATAGGGCAACAAAAACATTCAATATATATCTGAACATTGTAAGTAGTTTATATAATACCCTCATCTCCAAATAAAAAAATAAAACAGATACTAAAAAAAACAAAAACATTCTTAATATCAAAAACATCATAAAAGACAAAAGGTCTTTGTAAAAAAAAAAATCATTTACTTTAATATTTAAAAAAAAATCATTTACTTTAATATTTTTCACTGAACTGTCATATTTAAATTTTTACATTTTGTTCAGCGACTTTTCCATTCGTTATGGGAAACTTTGAATAGATAATCGAATTATGAAGATTTATAAAAATTAAAAAATTTAGCTTCGAGTAAATATCCTCCCTCCCAACATCAATTATTTTGTTAATAAACAAAGGCAAAGTTAATGAATGAATTATAGAATATTCTATAGATTTGTTTAATAAAAAAATTTTTTTAAAATTATTATTAATAAATTGATTAATTTATATAACAAACACAAATATAAAAAGCTAAAACTTAAAACTAAAAGCAAAAAATAGAAAAGTTTCTATTTATTTACATAATAAATCATTCAATTATTTTTTTAAAAATAAACTGGTAAAAATGAAATCAAATTGAAAATTAAAAGAATAGATATACAATCAATTTATTTAAGAAAAGGCTTACTTGTTTTAAAATTACAAACAATTTTCCATGAAAGTTAATTGGCTCACTATCCTTACAAAAACAAATTTTCACTTGTTACTAATTGGAATAATGACTTGTAAAAAACATTTTTAAAAGAAATGAGAAGTTATTGAATTAAAATGAAAAAGAAATTGTTATATTTTTTAGTGTACAAGATTTGTAAAAAAATCTGTTATAATTAAATTAGAAAACAATGAAGTAAAATATTGCATTCTTTTATTTTAGTAGGGGTGGTAGTAGTAGTATTAGTAACTTAAAGTTTCCGTTTTCTTTTAAAAAAAATTTTCAAATTTTATGAAAAAAATCTTTTCTTTCCATCTTCTTCAATGGCATGTTAAATCTGTTGTTTTTCAAAGATGAAGAAGGAATCTTAACATTAGGAGATTTATTCTTCAGTTATAGTAGTGATAATCTATACAAAGAAATGTGTATGTCAGTGTGTCATACTTTTTCAACTTAACTCCCTAGAGCCGTAGCAAAATATCTAGTCTCCGATTTTGGAACCAGGAAGACCTGTGAGCAAATTAAAACATTCGGGTCGGATCTTGAAAACAATCTTGACATACCCAAGTTTTCCATTACTACAATTGTTTTCGAGCCAAAACATGAATTTTTTTTTAAATTTTTTTTTTTTTGTAGACGAATGGAGAATAATGATGAAATAAATTTGGGAATAATTGAACAAAATTTTGAAAAAAGAAAGAATCACCCAAAAATAAACTATTTTTTGTGCAGAAAGTAAGGACCTACATGTATGTCAAATTGTCTTTAAATTAAATAGTGGCAGAAGAATTATCGTTGAACTTTGAAAAGACTAAAACATATTAAAAACATAAAAATGCAACGATCAATTTTGAGTTTTTTTTAAGTTTATTGTTGCCTGTCAACCAGCGACAGTATGCCTCTGCAAAAGAAATCTTTTGCCAACAGTGGACCAGACTGCAATCAAAAGAGCCAAAGAAAAGTGAAAAAAAAAGAAAGTGCCATGCAAATGAAAACCCAGATCAAACATATTAGGGATGCTGATGTTGAGAATTTTAAAAACATCTCAAACTCCTGAACAAGCTGAAGGCCTAATCAAAATCTGAGTAAATAGCAATACTAAAATGCCATCTGTGGTGTGGTTTTTAAAAGTAATTACAGAAATAAGTTGGTATAAAACAAATAACCAGGTAGTAGTATTGTAGAGGAAATCAATCATGTATCTGTTATTAAACCTCAAAGATAATGTTCATTACTAAACAAAGTTTCAGAAGAATGTATCAATTAAAAATTTATATCCCAAAAAAAGTTATAACAATTAGAGTAAAATTCTTGAATTATATTGACAAAGCTTGATAAAAAGCAAGATAAATAAGGTGAATGAAAACTAATACAAAATTTTTCCCAAGAACAATTCTATAAACATTTTTTGACTTAATGATCAAAAATGCCTTTTTTCTTGTACAGCAGAGAAAGAAGTGTAGGTTAAAGTGATAATGGTGGGGGTCCAAAGCATATAAAGACAAGAGCAATTGGTAGGGGATACTTTCACCAAGGAGGGGGTAACATAAATACACATGGGGCAATTGATAAGAGACATTTTTGCCTAAAGTTGGCGGGGGGACTAATGAAAAGAACCCATGAGACAATTTAGCAGAGGACACTTTCACCAAAAGGAAATGACAAGCACCCGGAACAAAACTTCAAAAAGAACATAGACACAAACATAGATTCTTCTTGCCATCTACCTGCCTGCAGAGATTTTTTATTGTCGAGTGATATGGTGCAAAATACTGGATGGAAAAACTGACCACAGAAACCTGGATGTAACAAGTTTCAAAAGTGGCATCATATTTCTGTCTGCATTTTTCTTTTCTTTTTCCCTTTGAACCAATACGCATGCGATTCAATGCCTTTTTCTCAACTGAGCTTGTGAGTCTTCACCCGCTACAATCTCTTGATCACATATATGCGTTAATCCATATGTTGATTTTTTACCAATCACCATGCTTTTAAGAAGGTTGGCCTCAATTTTGTCATCCGATACTTTCATGACAGAGCTTGATGGTACTGGCTGCCATCCATATACAGGGAAATGTCTGACAAGTTACCTGCACTGGGAAAATACATCTCATACATCATGATTTTAGTGGCATTTGGAATCATACTCCCCCTTTTCCATCTCAGGTTATCTCATGACATTTTCATTTATATACAAATCATTAATGTAGGCCGATTCTGCTCTGTTGTGTGACTCTTCCTAAGAAAGTATAGCACTGACAATGAACTTCATGATCAAGAGTGCCACATTAAGGCCACATACTAAATGCATCTGGCAGTACCATTTCCCCTTAATCATTATGGCCTGATATGGCCACAATGATTTATGAACATGTAACTGTAGTTATGCTTTCCTTAAATCAAGGAGGGTTATCTTCACCCCTTGTTGACACAATACTTCTAGTTTTGTTGTCCAATCATCTGCATTTACTTTGAATGTATAAACATATTCATTGAATTTGCGATAATTAATCACTGGATGCACATTTCTTTTATTGTGCTGCTCAATGGCCATCAAAAGAATCAAGCCCTTGGGTTGTCCCAGTTCCTGAAGAGAAACGATGGCGTTAGCCTGTCATTGGTGACCCAAGCTTGATGTTCCAGTTCAGATGCATTTCTGCATATGACTGGATACAATCAGAAATTCTGTTTTGCAACTTAGTCAGCACCACACTTGTTTTCCATTTTCCTGTTCATACAGCCACAAAAGTATATGTCAAGCTATGCACTGGCATCTCCTCAAAGAGTAAAACCAACTTCTTCAGTTCTGCCAGGTAAACTCTGTGATGTAAACTGCTTGGATGCAGTGAAGATGTTTGTTGCAAATGCAGTGAACAGGACTATCTATATCAGAGTTATTTTGGCTTTATCCTCTTCACTCAACTGTATATATATATATACATCAAAGGATCCACTATTAAGTTTGAAGAGGGAAAACTCATTCAACTTGCTTGACCCCACACAAGTTGCATACCAGCTTTTTATGCCCACTTGACAACAAAAGCCAACTTGTCAAACACTGGGATTAAGATGAAGTTTGATATTTCACCAAAATAGCTTGTAGATTGAACTATAATAGGGGGTTCAATGTAAAGAAACTCAACACTGAGCATGTGCATGTGTATCTCTGCTACAAAAATATACAAAGCATACCAAAGTTTTTTTCCCTAACCAAAAAGCTTTTTTCCCCAAAATTCTGATGTTTGGTGATTTCATCAAATTTTGGGAATTAGTTTTGGCTAAGAATTTTTCAGTAGCCCCTCATAAATGTTACCATGTAGGATAAGTGACAATAATAAATAAACAAAATATTTTTAGAGAGCTCCAAGGCAGAGGGCAAGATACACTGATACTAAGCAGATGTGTGAATCCACATATAAATAATAAATAATTTTTATGGGTTCAGTACTAATAGATATAGAAAAGTGATAATTAAGTAAAACAAAAACAATCACATTTTAAAAAATTGATCGAATATAAGTTTGAATTTTTCTACCTCCAGACACAGGAGAGTCCACAAAAGAAGCTCCCAGCTCCTCAGCTTTGGTAGCAATTTCTTGTGATACAGAAGGATCAATGGTGCTGCTATCCATTAACAATGTTCCCTTTTGCATTGTACTGAAAATAAACCAAAAAGAAAGCTAAAATAAAGAGACCATACACAGAATGCACACACTCTACTAAGCTGATAACCGAAACATCCTTGATAATGGCTAAAGGTATACACGAAAGCGCTCAGAAATACAAAACATTCGGAGAGTTCTTACACACCCTTTGTCGATCGCCAAACAGTTATGGTGTAATTCTGGGGGAAAATTGTAGTTTATAAAGGGAAAATTTGACCTTGTTCCTAACCCCCTTAAAAGGGTTCCATGGTGGGGCCCGAAGTTTTTGGTTTCCCCTTGGGGGAAAAAA